CGGCTACGACGACGCCGAGGCGCACCCAACGCTCTGAGCCTCCCCCGCCATTGTCTCGCCGCGCGTGGAATTATTATCAACACCGGCGACGATGTTGCCGGATAGTAATTGTTTGAACGTTGATTCCGACCCATTGTTTGTTCGTCAGTCGCTTTCTTCCCTCTTCCCCTTTCCCCGCTTGCGTTACGTGTCCTTGCTGTATACGTTGTTTCGGGTTGAAAACGCAGTTTCCCGCGGCAAGGCGGCACCGTTAATCTTGAAATCGATACACGCCACAGTCATCAGGGGGCCCGTAAGCCTCCCACGTAGCGGGACGTCGTACGACGCGTTTTCCGCTGGGCGAGATGGTACGCGCGACGACGTTGTAACCGTTTCGTTTTCTTAAATGGGCGTCTCGACGTTACCGATCGGTTTACGTCAGTACGGTTTATTTAGAGCGATCGGTCTTGATTGGCCGATATCCGGCAATTGAACGGGCTCGTTGAGGAGAAACGAGTACCTTGGTATCGGCTGCAAATTCTGAGGAACGAGGTGGGATCCGCTTACGGGACAGATGTTCTCGGGGATGGCGGAAAGGATCGATCGTTGATGGTGTCGATCGTTGGGATTTGCGAGACGTTCGTTGAGCGTGATGAAACTGGTATATGTGAAATGATTTCGTCGTGGAAGGAGTGTCGTCGTTTGGAGCCGCGTGTGGATACTGAAAGTTTGAGTTAGGCCTCCTGTCTAGGAAGTCCAGCTGAACCCTTTAAGGCATTGATTATATTACCATTATTTTTGTGGCAATTTTTATTCCAGATACATTTGATTGTAGTATAAGTGGTACTACGAAGTACCGTCAGGACATAAAGAGTTATCCTTGATTTGTTTTAGGATTGGGAATAACGTTTTTAAGTGCATCACTTTTCTACCTAGTCTAAGCAACAAAAGACAATTCAATATTATTCGGTCAGCAATCTAACAATTCTAATTCTACCACCAATACTCCAATGCAAAAGACAATAAAAACAAATGTCCCAAGAGCATCTGCTCCGGTTCACGAGGGTTCCATCGACATTCCAGTCCAGAACGCACTCGAAAGCGACCGAATCAATTTTCCCAGTGTTGCAGCGGCGTACAGGAACGGCGCAGGTGCGGTGCGCCGCAACAACGGCTTGAATTAATCACCCTGATAAATAATAATAAGTGGGCGGCGTTCACGCGCCTAGTTAGTTCGCTATTAATACGCAATTCATATTAAACGGGGCCCTTTGCCTCAGGCGTAACGACGTGCGCGCCGAAACGTCCCCGTCGGCGTGTTCCTAACACGAGGTGTGCCTCGACGTCACGCGTCCCGGAGTGTCCGTGTCGGCTGGAACAATGTCGCAAGCTTGTTGTCGCGGCCGAAGGCATCGCGCGTGTTTCATAGTTAATGTCCCGTAATTAATCGATGGCTGATAGCTCGAGCCACGAATCGGCCCGGTGGGACGGTGAAACGGCCCGGCCATTACAAGTTTTCGAGTAAATTTTCCACTCGTTTCCCTTCCCTCGTGACCCGACACTTTGACGTTCACCGCCGTTGTTGCGGGTACGATCCGACGGGAAAGCGAATGGCCTTTCGCTTGATGGATCTAGGAAGACCTAGGTGAAAGTTTGTACGACTTAGGTACGATTTAATACTTTGTGAAACTTATGAGGGAAAGACAGTACTGCCTCACGGATCTAATTATTCATTATTCGAATACCCTAATATCCGAACATTCTATTTGTATTGTTCAAACGCTCTGTTATCCGAACAGAGTGTCTTGTAATAACAACATTAAATATTTCATAAAATAATAGCTATATGCGACTGAAAAAAATATCATTGACTTCAGAATTCCAAGCTCTATCACTGTGCTAAGCCTGATTAAAAAGTCAGCGTTACACCTGGGGATCTCTTCTTGTCAGTGCCGAGGACCTTTCGAACACTCATCGAGAATTTACAGTACACCAGAAAGGGGAATTTCAGTATATCCTTTCCACAATTACCAACAAGTTTTCCACACCCACACGTACATCCAAGAACAATCATACATCACATATCCACCTCTCCGACACACCAATCAACCAACAGAAAGACACACAGGCCCAATATAGGACTGAAAAGTATGACCCATTGATGGCTCACGCCACATGATACGATCGAAAATTGGAATTATCGAATTCTTCCGTGTCAAGCAACGTCGCATTCCAGGATTCCTTCCCGGTGAAGCTCGACGCTGCACCAGGGGTGTTTTATCCCCGTAACTCATAAGTTTCGGACTATATCGACGGACTCGATGTATCGATAATTTCGGTACGCCAGTGCTGCGGTCTCGAGCGGCGCGGCGAGCCCGAGCTTTCCTCCTATTATCGGGCCACCGGAAAAACGATAGCACCGCGCCATTAACGCCACTGATAACCGTTATTTAAGAGGGCTGGCTCGGCCCAGGCAGAGCCGCCGCTTTTGTATATAACGGAAGAAGAAGTTTGTAATAAAAATCAATTGAAATGTGCGCGCGCGTGCCAGCTGACTCCTACTGGGCTGGCACCAGCGAAAAGGCGTAACGAAATACGACTTTCAATGTTTTACATCGATGGACGGGGATTATTAGAGTGGAACTAATGAAAATGCATTATCTGTTTTGGCGTTTCGTTCCCAGAGTTTGCCGTGACACGTGTCGCGGATTAAACAAACGCGTATCTACTGCCAATGGAGTTTTCGTTTTCTTGGACCTGTGATGGGCAACTCAGCGCCCGCCAAACTCACTAACGGTCAACAACGTGCAGCATGCGGGCATATGTCAGTGGTGGGTGAAATGTGCGAATGACAGCACAATCTTGTTTTTATTTACTGCCTTTCTGTGGTGGAAGAATTGTACTCACTGCTTCGAATGTTTACTTTGAATGTTTTTTTTTTTATTTATATTCCAAGGGTTTATAAATTTCTGTGGACAAAAGAACACATCTAATCTCTTCAAAGGCATAATAAATTTTAGAGTTGTTTATTGTTTAGATTAAAACTTCCTGTACCAGAAACTACCGCGAATAAGTAACTTTTCCTTGTAGTTATTCATCCCGTTCCAGTTGGACTACGTTTCAGTGCGTATGAAAGATATGGCTCGTTAAATGAAGAGATAATTATAATATATCGGTTCGAGATAATACCACTGAAAATAACGTACTAATTGGCCGACCGCATTTATTCGGGCCACGCCGGAGTCTTCCGGATCGCCGCCACAAATATTCGCTGGCAACGAGCACACGTAACCACCGTCGCATTCCTGGCTGTTGAATTAATCGGCCATTCGCTGGAATTTCGTTTCCGCGGACGACAAAAGAATCCACGGCGTGTGACGTTCGCTTTTCTCGATTCTCGGCTCGGTGCTGGAAATTGGTCTCTCGTCTTATTTTCTTATTTTCCATTGAATGTTGAACATTATTGGCTACCAAGTGATATTTAACAGATTGATTTAACACTATGTTTTAGATCTTTTTCATACCATATGTAATTGGTAATTGAGAACAACTAGAACAAAATAATTTCCTAATTTCTCGTATGTTGCGAAGTTTATTTGTGCACATCCACTCTATAGAAGTTTGAGTATAATAGTCACATTTGTATTCTACATTCACGTACAAACTGCAAAATGCTCTTTATAATATTAATCATGTTCATACACGAGCTTGTAAGTTCAATTCCATAAAATAAAAATAAAGGAAAAATCAATATTATAAAATACTTTTTGAACTTCCAGCTTGCAATATACGAACATATTGTTTACATAGAGAATTATGTACGATGTAGGTTTGATATCGGAAGTTAATCTATAAAACTGAATGTTTGAGAATCACTATAATTGGAAATGTAAAGTGGATAGAGATCTGATATCGCCTTAACTTCCAGAGATATATATGTCAAGAGAAATTGGAGCATTAATTCGATAAAATGAAACACGTCTAACCCGACTCACCATCTGCATCCAAACTTTCGAACGTTCGTATACATTAACTACAAATATCTCGTCTCTACCTCCCATTTCAAAATATCCAAACCCATCTCGTCGAGATCATACATAAATCCAAAGTTAAAACAATCGTCAGCCAACGATACCCTGATCCGACCCCAGTGGCCCGATCTTTCTTAAAATTCAATCCTCATGCGTCAAACACCTGCCACCCCGTAAATTTTCCCAAGACTTCTGGAACAGAACATCGCTACTTCTTTCCGAATCCGTGAGAAAAAAAATTCCACACCGCTCAGTACACGTTCAATTCATTCAGCAAATCCCTGGAAGAATAGAAGACATTTCTCAAATTCGATATCCAATATTATACGCGGCCCGATTCGATCTCTCGCGCGTTTCCTCTCCATCAAAAATTCATGGTTCCTCCGAGGTCCCTCCGCCGTGTCGCGAAATCCGCGAAACTCTCTGAATTGAAATCCCGCGAAAATATTAGCCGTTCCTGTCTCGAAGGGGGTGTGCCGCGGCGACCGATTTAATTAAACGATCCCGCGCTGGTGGGACGGTCATCGATTAAGACGTAAATTATACGTCTCTTTCGGAAGTAATTCGGAGTTTAGGACGCGACTGCGAAATCAGCTGACGAACGACACCCTCGGGAAATTACGGGAAATTGCACTACCGAGACTGCGCGTGTTTTAAACGCGTTGACAAATACGCTCGAGTCTGCCCACCCTCCCACCACCCCTTTTTTTCACTTATATGCATCGGGGACCGGTCTGCCGAGACCTTAAACGCTTCCGACTGGAATCACGATTTCCCAGCGTAACTGTTTCGCGGTGTCTTCCACGTGTATGTAGTTGCTGAGGAAATATGGTGCAAGCTAATAATCCTTTTTCGGTCTGGGACTGATTTTTATAGAAGTTCGATCATCAGAATCATAATTGCTTTTTTTTATTGGTATTTTATTAAGACTTGTTGGAGCAGACTCCAAGTTTACGACAGGGGGGACGATGTTCTGTGGCTTTTATTCAGGTGACTGTAGAAGAGACGCAGGTACCGTCCATTAAAAAAACATGTGAGACTATCAAGATCAAGAACTGTGCTGCACAGACCCTTAAGGATAATGATACATCTTTGTTGCAGTCACATGTTCTGGTATAAAGAAATAGAAACAAAAGTAAAGTCCAAGGACAATAATAATAACCATAGTAATACGCTTTATTACAGTAAAACTGTGGTAACCATCATGGTAGAAAACTACAAGTACAGAATAAAAAAAAATTCCGCAGTCACATCATGAAATAATATGAAGGGTAAGGTTAATACGAGTCCTCCATTATCAGAACCCAACCCTAAGTATAAATATAAGATATAACCGACAATAAGAAAATTAACTCTACAATACAGCCGCTATTAAATTTCGATTTTACAATAATCAAGCAATTCTTCATCTTTTCGTTTCGAAGTTCATACTGCATAAAACCGATCAATGTATTCGATCTCCGTTTTTGCCCCCGAACGTCACTTTTAATGCGAACGCATAACACCGGACGTTATAGGTACACGTCAACGTCGATGTATCCGAGGGACGCATATATCGCGGAGACGTCTCCTGGCTGACACGTACGCGAAAATGTTGCTCCTTCCGCGTGTCACGACCAACTGGAACGAAGAGCGGCGCGAATCCCCCGTTACGTTTCCTTTCCTATTTGCACGAGTTCTCGATATTTCACGCGCATCCACCGACAGTCGCTGGGCCGAGACGCAACAAACTGGTCTGGGCGAACGTTTTTTTTTTGTTTTTGCTCTGGATGATATTGTTTGCTCGTTTCGTTGCAAATAGCGTTGTACAGTGGACCTGCACGCGGTTACAGGACGTCGCGAAAGGGCTTTTCCATGGTTCATCGCGAAACTTTCAGCGTTTACACCGTAATAACCGAACTTCCTTGGCCGTTACGTTGCGCTGTTAACGGGGAGAACGAAAGTTTTCTTCTTTGTACGATGTCTTAATACGATTTTGTATTCCATTCAGTTGAATCGACGAGGTCTGGGAATGTTTTAGAGATGATCTGGAGGTTGGAGAAATTTAATTTAAATTCTGGGTACGCTTGTCAGTTCTTACTGTAATTATATCGTGTTATGAATTTCGTCTTGTTTCGTATTATTACGACCGGTCAGCTGTCCTGAGGGCAGCAACAAATTCTTTTTAATCTTGGATAGTAATCCGCGGAAGGTTTCATGGTCCTGGGAAATTCCCGGGCATCGGCCGTTACCGTCGGCAGTCGTAACTCGTATTAATTCCCGTTAAAAGCTAAGTAACACGATGCACCATTTACTCTGTTCCCGACATGGGCCGATGCCCTCCCTTATTCTCTCTTTCCACTCGCGTTCTCTCGGTCTGTCCGCGCACACATACACACGTACACACGCCTCCGAGTCGGACCATTCACGCCGGGGCCATAAGATGGTCACCGGAGACCATGGCTGCGTTTTCGTTTTACCCCCTTTCCCCCACCCTTTTACCTCCCCGCAGCTCCCAGTGGGAATAATGAACACACGCTTCTTTAACATTTTCTGTTACCGCGAGGATAAAAGGACTCGTTCTATCTTCTTTTTCGTTTCACTCTCTCTCTCTCACCTGCTTTTTTTTTCGCGACCTCGTTCGCTCTTAACCGCAACTAGAGTAGTAAAAAGTACCGGCAATGAAGATAGTGGGTATTACGCGAATAAATTAAGCTCCCCTGTTGCTTTAAAACGAGAACCGTGAATGTGAAAGGGTGTAGTGATTCTGTTACTTAGAGAATTCGGGGTATACTCTTTTGTCTACATTTTGGCGGGTTGGAATGGTAAATAGGTCGTGTTAATATTTTGTGAGATTTATTATGTTGACGATTTTCTTTTAAATATTTATATATTTATTAATAATTCCAGCCTGAAGGCCAAGGAATGGATTTGGTTTACAATTTCTTTTACATTGCTCTCACTCGTCCTTCTATTCTTCAAACATATTGTACTTATCCTATCCATCCGACTTCATTTTAAATAAATGATTACAATTTTTAATTGTAGGGTACAAAGCTTTCTTCAATGTAAAATTGAGATATCTATTAATATTTCCAAGTTCTGTGTTTCTCAGGGTAGAACTTATTCCTTCGTTAACTCTGAAAGTAGGATAGCACTTTCTGTATTCGCCCGAACGCAAGTGATACAATTGTTTAAAGAAAACAAGACGAATGAAATTCTACAGGGAGGACCACGGTGTCGGTAGTAAACCCGAAATACTAAAAGCGAAGGGCTTCAAGTTCCCAACAAGAATTACCCTCCCTCCCAAAACGCTGGAAACCTTCAGAAACGATGACCAACTTTCAAATGACAGGCGGGCGAAGTTTTACCGAGGACTATACTTGGGTAGCATCAATCGTTACGCTTTACTGTTCCAATACGAACGCAAATCTGCGTCCAACCAACGGCAACGTTTTGAATATCGCACTCGATGAAACAGTATTATTGCTAATTGGGTATGCATAATAAAGCGTGTGTGTCGAACGAGATGCGGTGTACACAAACCTCTGTGCAAAACGGAACGCAGTCGGTTTATATTTGACAAAATATCGGGCGGAACAAATGGTTTCCATATCTCTTCGATTATTATCTTCGTCGCTAATCTCCGTCAGTTAAATTATTAATCGTGTATTTAGATTCGTCCCTGGAACGTGTATTACTTTTCTCGATAGTCCGAGTATGGCAACGTTCCAGGGGCAACGTTTGTTTTCCAGGGAAGAAAATAATGAAATTTAGGAGATTCCTGCTTTCGACTGAATTGTTTGTAGTTACGATTCGAATAAAATAGTTTGCGTCGGTAAACTTGGCCGAAGTTGAGAACAGGCACCCACGGTATTCCTCGTTTTATGTACTCATTGTTCAAGTTCAACCAGAATTTATTTCTTGGTACAATATTTGGTTCAAACAAAGTGTCTTAAAGTGTACATTTCAAGTCGAACAATAGAAGTGGTTACTGGGTTATGACTTCGAAATTTAAGTAGATTGATACGTTCACCGCCCCACACTGTAGCTCGTAATTAGTACTGAAGCCGTTCTAACCACGTTTTCATGTCGATTCAACGAGCTTCAATGAAGCCATCAAAATATCCTACTTAACAAATTCATCGACTACCAGTCGATAGCATTTAACCCTTTGTGCCCTGACCCTCGTAAATCCTTCAAACACTTTTTGAAAAATGTTCAAAAATGTTCTTTCATTTAATATCGTTCATTCGCTGGTGAAATCTGTGTTTCGTTCTTTTTAATTTAATCAATTACATTTTCTTGAATTTTCTACATTGAAATCAATACGTTATTAAAACTTACAGACATTAAAGAAATGAATTTTCATAAGCCCGATAGTTATTAATATTATCACCATTTAAAGTTCGACTTTAACAGTTACAAAATCTCATTGTTCATTCATTCGTACGTTCACCCTATCTGGAATAAAAAATGCGGTAGAAACATAACTGTAACATAAATCAGACCTCCAAGGGTTAAAGGTTACAATATTTACAACCACATAATTCCCAGATCCTTCTCTCTCCTCGTTCCCCCACCCCGTTAAAGATCCAAAAATCTTTCTCCAAAGACCCTTTCCTGTTCCCACCGAACATACAAGACCAGAAGGACAAATCCCGTGCAGGTTCGGTGGAATCGGGTCTTGAAGGGTTCGACGTATTTCAAGTTCCGGCGCGACACGATCCCTCCCTAGCCTCGTGTTCGGAAGCGCGCAGGATCTGTGGTGGCGGTCGCGGCTCACGATCCCACGGGAATTCTGATTACTGATTTACGAGGTCTCTCCCTCCTCAGCTCTCAGAGAGAGAAGAACCGATCCCTTGCCTCCGAGAAGGCAGCAGCGCAACCCTTGGAGCAGCGCAGGGTGGGGGGCAAAGGCGCAGATGCCAGGAACGGGCTCCGAGAGAGGTAAATCCTATCAGAAGTACTTAGAGTTCGGCATTGCCACTCTCTTGCTCCGTGGCTCGTCGTCCGTAACTGGCAGCGGTTCCACTCTGGTTAACTCCCCCGACTCCGTCCTTTATCTCCCTCCTATCGAGGGCTTGATTGGGCTATGACCGGGAATTAACTTGGCGACGGAGGGTGGAGGCAAGGGGCACCGACGTTACGACGGCAGTCGCCTCGTGCACGGGGACAGGTGTAATTGAAGGGCGAATCCGTCCCCCAGCCACGTACACCGATCTTATGATAACCGAGCGAAACCGGACCCCCACGGAATTTCTCGGACATCGCTTGGGAATTGGGGAGCGAGTTTACGATACGAATGCTGCCGGATCGTTTCCATATCTTGGAACGATGGTGCAATCATCGGAATATCGTTGATGTTTAAGGGCACTTTGATTTAGAGGTTTGTAATGGTGGTCGTGTTGGACGCTGGTTTCTTGGCCTTTCTGGCGAGATCGGCTGAAGATTTATGTAGACAGATGGTTGTAATTGAGAGTACTTTTGGAGGTGCTTGTTTTTATTTTTAATTGGGACGTTGTTTCACGGGAAATTTACTGTTTAACAATGTCTGCTTCAATCACTCAATAGCATGCATATTTTACAAGTAAACTATCTTCTCCAACACCTCTCATTATTTTCCAACACAGTGCTCCATATTCATCAAGTCGAATGACGAAGAGATCCACCGAATTTAAGCTATACCTCTTTATGAACAAAATACTGGATTTCTCGTTAGCATATCCAATAATAAAGCTGGCCCACGAGTATTAGAAGCTTCCGGACTGAAACGCAGCTCCGTAAACTCAGCCAGGCCGTTTAATCGCAATCGATCAATGAACGTGGCGCAACTTCGAACCCCCATTTCCATAGATTAAAGCTCAGTCACCGCGAAAGACGCGAGGTGGTGGCGGAGGCTGGATCGGTTACAGGTGCATCGTTTCACGGTAAATCTTTCGCGAGAGTGTTACAAGTATTGCCGCTACTTAACGAGCATTCCATCCCCCTTTCCTTCGTTCCCTTCGCGGGATTCGTTTGAAATTCCCAAAAGGGCTCGAACTTCCGAACCGCGTCGACGACGCAACGTCGAACTTCGTAGTTTTCGAAACGTTCGAGCGTTCGTTTGGAGGGGGGAGAAGGGCTTAGGAACTGTACTA